CAAAACAAAACAAAACAAAACAAAACAAAACACTTTTACTTTGTTACCCTGTATTTTTCCAATGCATGACGGCTAGCAAATGAGTCTTCCCTCTACATATGAGTCAGTAATCAAAACAGCCAGCGGTAAAACGAGAAATTCACACACTAAGTTAAAGGTCCATGTAAAGAAATATTATATATACATACTGTAGTTGTATTGATTTGTAAATTATCATCCAAATCATAGGAAGACCATTTGTTAAGGACGCATTACTTTGTGATTGAATTCAGTTTTATGTTAGTCTGATCTGAATACTCTCTTACATTGCCCTGCAATCAATACYTCCGGATTTCTCGCTCCATTGCTTCCAGGACCTAGGTTCTGTCTTCGCGAAACCATGGCTTAGAAGCGCTAGTACCAAACGAGAATATGTTCTAACTGAACCTCGCGCATAAACTATACTATGATATTTTTGAATAAATTTTGAAAATGTATATAATACACCTAATTGAAAAAACCTAGTCGGGTTCGAGAAGGTCATATCATCAAAGCTCAAAGGATTTTGGGTACTCCGAAATGTGTATTATATTTGCATATAGACATGTAATAATCATAATTAACAACAAGCAAAATTGTCATCAACATCATCATTATCAAGTAAAACGTCATCGTTATCAGTGTCAACATTATCAACTCGCTATCATCATCAACAACATCATGGTCATCACCATCATCATCACCAGCATGGTCATCATCATCACCATCACCAGCATGGTCATCATCATCATCAACAACAACCTCATGACGTTTAAATGGCATCACAGGAAAACAGGAAGAAAAGATCAAAGGTTGTAAAGCAAAACGCATTATTTTATGTTCGTAGAAGGTCTACCAATGTTTTAAGTGACTACACCATTTCATTTGTGCTTTCTAGTATACAAGGAATAGGTTCTTTTGATCGCATCTAAAGTGCAAACATACAAATAGTCGGAGACTTGATTAATTTAGTGCTCGTTAGTCACTGCTTAAACATCAAGAGTTGTTAGATCTTTTTTTAAATAGATTTAGTATGTGATGTTTTACCACTATTTTTGTTGCTACGCGCTGATCGTACAAGTGATGAGCAGTAGACTACCGTCCAAAAAAATAATCGTTAGGGTACAGTTACATGGGAATACCTCATTTGATACAAGAGTCCCTTGCAGACTTGTGTTCTTGAATTGATTAGCACCAATTAGCCATTCCGAGGTTGAGGRAAAAACTGGGTCGAGTTGGCATTGAAGCACATTTTGGGACTGTTAGGGGACGAAATAAATGCCATCTCTGAAATATGTCCCCTAAAACAGTCCCACAATGCACTTCAATGCCAACAGGACCTATTGTTTCCCTCAACCTTAAAATGGGTAATTAATTTTAAGATTTGCGAAGCGTTCTTGTAAAGGTCGCGATATGACGCCAGATATAACAAAATTTCAAAATGTCGGCTAACTTTGCGTTCAAAAGTATGTAGCACAATGAACTAGTTACGCACCCGAATTCTCGTAGTGGTCGCGAAATAACGCAAGTGTAAAGATGTATCAGAATGTCAGTTAACGCTGCGTTCTGAATATATTTATAGTAACATTTACAGTACARTGAATCAGCTATACCTACCCGAAATAACAGGACGATTCCTTCAAAGCCAATTCCAACGAACGGACAAAATTTCATACCTCCATCATTGGCTTTCAATAAGCCATCTCCAATGAACTTTCCATTGAGTGAAAAATGAACAAGAATACCGTCAGATGACTGTTCTTTGTACACTAATTCGCATCCAATCACATCACCCCTGAAGGCTGATGAATCTGCAAGAAAATGTTGTATAGACTAAAGTATCTTCTCTTTGTTTGACGGTTGCGCAAAAGAAGAAACAAGAATATGGAAACAACTCAAACAGGAGAATATGATACGTGGTCTGAAATGAGAAAACATGGCACCCAAGCCGAAAAGGGTTCTTTCAATAGACCTCCCTTGCTTGAGCGTAAGCTTTTCCCATCACAGACCACGTGTCATYYSCTTGAGAATAATATTCTTTRTTTGAKTTGTATCCATCTTGATGTGTTTTTTCATGCGCAACCGTTAAACAAAGAAATGACAYGTGGTCTTTGGTTTCCCTTACCGAGTTGTTTAYTTTTTCACTATCTTAAAGACAAAAGAGACAACGCATCTTCTGGAGTATTAGGGAGTAGAACTCTTTACCTTGGGCCTAATGTATTCCCATTTAGGACCACGTGCCATTTTCTTTAGTATGCTTTCTTTGTTTGCTTCTGAGAGGGACAGTTATATGCGTCTTTACTTTGGAAGTAATGTTTTCCAATATCAGACCACGTGTTATGCTCTTGAGATAAAGATTCGAGTTGAATTATCTATTCATGTCAGTACCTTCTCATGTGCAAGTGTTAAAACAGAAATTATAAAATAACTGTTATGAATGTCGCGTTCTGATTGGTTCGTGTCGTGCTTCTCCTAACACTTCTCTCGTGTTCTGCCAACCCCCTCGTGCTTTATGACAGCACACAGCACGCGCGCGCGTTTTCTATTTCTTCATGATACTCTAGGGAATGATAAGGTAAAACATCACGTCCACGTTAAAGTAGTCTATATGGATGCTTACAAGAGATTAACCCCTGGAGTAGTATACAGAATAGGGGTTCTGCGTCGGGTGGATCAGGGTGGATCGTGGATCAACCCTTGCAATGACGTCAGCCCCATTAAATGACGTCACATCCTTCATAGTGATGTCACATCTCCTCCTCGGATAGGTCATATCTATTTTTTAGAACAACCCCTATTATGACGTCATAGTTCTGGAGAAGGAATCAGAGCCGCTTCTGAGCATCCTCCTGGATTGGTCACATCTATTTTTAGAATAGTCCGAATTATGACATAATCAGACGCATGAACCAATCAGGGGCTGTTTTTAATATTCCAGAGCCGAGTCTCCCGAAATCCCTATCCTGGACAATCTGTATCTATTTTTTGCTCACTGTATCATCTCGACTTTGGATTTGGTTACATGTTTCTATTTTAGAACACCTATGATCTTAGGATAGTAGAAAAGATGCAATGTTTATGAAAATAAAGTTTTCGGAACGTATCCCGGTTTTATCCCTTGGTTCACCAATCAAAAGGGAGAAAAAGGGGGTTAGGCGAATGCGAAATCGTACTG